CATCTCAAATCCCCACCCTCAAATTATTTTCCAGGCCCTAGAGCTATGAAGCTGCAACCAGGCCAAAGAGGCCTACAGACTGCTTGCTCTCACCCCACTGGTGCTTTCCCTCAGCCAAGACTCTTCAATCTTGGCCACAGACCTAAGCCAGAAGGATCGGCTCCTCAGGTCTCCCTTGCTGCCCCAGCCAGTGGCCATGAAAAATGTCAAGCTCACTGTCCGGGGGCTTTTATCTCACTCAAGAGCTGGCCAGGCTTCTGGAGCTTGGCCCTGAGATCCAGGTCTGAGTGGCAGCTAGGTAAACAGTTCCAACCTGATGCTCCTGAAGATTTGTTTGGAGCAGGCCAGGCACCAGGGACTCCTGGAGAAGACAGAGGGGTACCCTTCCATCGCAGGACACCTGCTGTCCCAGCCCCTGTCAGCCTGAGATCTGGAGGACCCTTTCCAAGGCAGACATTCATGGAAATGCCCTGATGTGGGCTAAGGGGAACTCAAGGCTGCGGGATCAGGAAGGTGGAAGGGCTGGGCTCCAATAGGAGCCTGAGCCCCAGGACCCAGCTGTGGAGGTGTCCGAAGCATCCGCTTTCCTCTTCATCTCCCTGGAGAAGGCCGGACATCATTCTCTCCTACCCTTGCCTTCTCTAGGCCCGGCTCAGGGGCAAAATTGGCTCAGAGGCCCTGGGAGCCTGATTTCTACCAACGCACCTGGGAAGCGTCTTATTTGACGGTCCTGGGACTGGCTGAATCCCCAAGGCCTTCAAGTTGGCTTCAGGGGCAGACAAGCCTCAGGAGCAGCCTCACCCCACCTCTCACCTGCTGGAAGGGGAAACTGGAGCCTGCCTTGGCAGCAGAAGTGTGGCTGGTGGGGCAGGCCGGGGCATCCAGGACTTGCTCTGGGATGGGCCAATTGTGCGGTTCGGGAGCATCATCTCAGCCTGATTCAGAAGGTTCAGGGCTGGAAGCTGTGCCTGCAGCTCCCACTCCCGGTCTCCCCAGCCTCCCATAGGCAGGTTATTGGGTGCCGGCAGGGAGAAAAGGCAGCCTGCTCATTTGTCTCTCCCAACTGAAGACCTCATTGTCATAGGTCCTCTGTACCCCAGTCTGGGGATTCCAGCGCCCCTCAGTCTCCCTTGAGCAGGGCCAGCACTGAGCTATGGAGGAGGCCCTGGGGTCACCATGCAGGGGGAGAGAGGGTGTCTAGGACTCTCAATCAGGAGGCACTCCCAGGATGTTACAGGAAGCCGGGCCAGGGGGCCCTTCAGGAGATCCTCCACAAACGTCCATTGTCAGTCTTTAGTGAATGAAGTAGTCCGGGAGGGAGGGTCTTTCAACAGGGAAGGTGAAGCCCCAGAACTCTTGAGAGAAAAGACATGTTAGTTGGCTCAATAACCCTATTTGTCTAAAATGCATCCATGAAATTCTAATGTTTAGATATCCACAGGGCAGAGGGGGAAATCTGCATGGTTTTACAAAGAAGCAAAGTCCTAAGAACCTTCTTATGGATTGTGAGCTCTGGCCTTGAAGGCCTGGGTTTGAATCCTAACTATGTCACTTACTTACCAGGGGATTCCCCGATAGCTCAGTTGGTAAAGAAACTGCCTGCAGTGCAGGAGACCCAAGTTCAATTCCTGGGTCATGAAGATCCCCTGGAGAAGGAAATAGCAACCACTCCAGTATTCTTGCCTGGAGAACCCCATGGACAAAGGAGCCTGGCAGGCTACCTACAGTTCATGGGGTCGCAAGAGTCAGACATGACTTAGTGACAAAATCACCATGTCACTTACTATCTCTGTGACCTAGGGCAAGCCAACCTTGCTGAGTCTCAATCCTCTCATCTGTGAAATGAGAGAACTATCTTACAAACTGTCAGGAGAATAAACTGAGTTTGAATATGTAGTATGCTTAGTATAGCACCTAGAAACATAAACATAACAAGTACTTAATAAGTATTAATAGTAATAAGAACAATTGTCTAGAAACTACTTACTTTTTTGCTAAGCATTCTACAGGCATTAACACATTCAGACTGAAAACACTGTGTCAGGTTGATACTGTTATTAGTCCCAATACAATGAGGAAACAGAGGCACCGAGAAGTTTAGTAACTTGTCCTGGGTCACACAGCAAGTAAGCAGTTTGGATCCAAATAACCTAGCTGGACACCTGCACTGATCACTCTGTTCTCCTACCCCAGCAATGACCAGTCATTGTAGTGACTGTCACAGTCCGTCCTCCAGATGCTGTATTAGTGACTCTCGTAGAGGTGAAGAGAATGGACTTCACCCTAGGAAAGAGATCCTCCAGGGAATGGTGGGCTTTCTGAGGTTGAGAGGCTCTCAATGACCAGAGGGGAAAATGGGCAGCAACATCCAAAATGGGCAGAGTGGCTGGCTGGAAAGCAAGCAATTGGGATGCTTCTTAGTAGCCCCAAGTGGCTTTAGAGTAGCCCACAGGCTGTGGCCCTGAGAATCGGGGGGCCTGGGGCTGCCTCTGCCTCTCCCCAGCATGGAGTGGGCATTGGAGCACAACTCCTCACAGGGACCAAGGTCCCAACCTGCACCTTCGCCATGGTGGATGGTGATGGAATTGGTGTGGGGAGGCAATGGAGCCAGGTGTCTAAAAAGTCACTAAATCCCTGTCAATTACAACCTCTGGCTTACAGCCTGTGGATGTCACTGCTGCCACTAATCCTGGGGAGAAGGGAGAAACCAGTCTACCTTGCTGGGAGGGTCATGTGTGCTCTGCCAGAGAACTGACTGGGGTGACAAAGACATTCAGCCAGAAGCCACAGGACAGGGAGGATTGAGGACCCAGTGGCACAAGCCTGATTGACTTTGCTGTGGCCCATTGTCCTTTAAACCTCTCTGTGGGGCGTGGAGAGCCTGTCCTGTGGACGCTGAGCCAGCCCTGGGCAGGGAGCACCTATGCAGGGCAGAGATGATTGCTGGCAGGAGCCAAGGCTTTCGAATCACATGCACAGAAGCAGGACTGGTGGTGGGAGGATGCAGCACAGGAAAGAGCTTTGGTTTCATCATAGTGCTATCTCCTGACCCTGCAAGCACGGTATCACCTCTGCCTCAGATGGCAGGGTTTTATCATAAGAAACATGCGCAGGGTGCCCAGGAAAAACTACCCAGCGGGGCCTCAGGAAGAACAGAAACCCGGTGGCCCCCTAGATCCCAGCAGTGCCAAGGACCTCAGCAGTAGGGGTGGAGGATACCCGCCCCCCACCCCCCGAAAAGGGCCATGTCCCTGGGCAGGACTCAGCCACACCCCACCTGCCCTCTGCTTTTCTTCCTGCCACCTCCTTCTGCTCATCCTCTTGGCCCCTCGGAGCTTCTGCCCTTTCAGTTTCTTTTCCCATCTCATTGGGCTTCTCTGTGGGCTGATGTGGCCTCGCCATCATCTTAACTGGAACAGGAACCGGCAACCCACCCCAGTGTTCTTGTCTGGAGAATTTCATGAACAGAGGAGCCTGGCGGGCTAAGGTCCATGGGGTCACAAACAGACACGACTGAGCGACTAACACACGTCGTCTTAACACATTTTGCCCCCTGCACACGGTAATAGCCTGATGCTCTTGGAATTTCCCAATTCACACCCAAGAAAGGGTTGGTACCTGAGGCCATGAGGGAGCACTGGGCCCCTGGGACTCAGCCTCCTGGAGTCACATGCCCACTTCCTTTCCAGAGGGCTGGGGGGACACTGGGCAGCCGGGTCACATGCTTCACCAAGGGGCTGCCCTCCTGGGAGCTCTGGGGGTGGCTGACCCCAAACTGACATGTCCAGTAAGGTGGGCATCCCCTGGCCCTTCATTTCCTGCATTCTTCCTTATACTGTGCAATCCTGCCCCTGCAGGGAAGGGTTCTCACAAATTCTACCCGCTTTGAGGTCTGCCATTCTCTGACAGCCATGGCCCCAAGGGCAGTGGTAGGCAAAGGCTGTTTGGCCCCGCAACGCCTGGCAGCATCAGTAAGCATCTCAGGTACTGATCAGTGGGGCTTGTGCCTGAGCAGGAGGGACTCAGAGGTCTATTTCTCTCCAGAGCGAGGCCTCTACCTGCTGGCAGCTCACCGTGAGGGTCCTGGAGGCACGGGGCCTGGGCTGGGCTGACCTGTGTGAGTAACTGTGAATTGGGCTCTGGGGAGGTGGGGTTGCCGGGTCCTGTGGGAAAGGCCCAGGCAAGTGCCTAGGGGCTGGGCTGGGCTGGGCTGCCCAGAGTGGCTGCAGGGATCTTGGGAGGAACCTGGTGAGGCCCCTGGAGAGTGATGTGAGGAATTCTCTCTCACAATGGCTCCCTTGATGTTGGCAGTGAGCGAGGCAGACCCCTATGTGGTCCTACAGCTGCCAACCGCACCTGGAACGAAGTTTAAGACCAAAACAGTTACCAACTCCAGTCATCCTGTGTGGAACGAGACCTTCACTTTCCTGATCCAGAGTCAGGTCAAGGTAAAGGTCAGGGTATCCCTGGCCACCCACCTGAGGACAGGTTGTACCGCATACACAAATGTTTTGGGGTGGGGCTCAGGCAGAGACCCTGAGGAATGGGGTGTCTGTGTGCTCCAGCCTAGATGTGCTGTATGCGAGAGGATACGTGAATGACAAGGTGATGGTCCTCCCTAAGCCAGTCCATGGAGTGGAAGCATAAGAGCCCTCCTGACTGGGTTGTTTGAGGTTAAATGAGATCATGCATGGAAGACTCCCAGTAAGTGCCTGGGACCTACCTTACCTTAGGGAACCAGCAAAGCAGGCATGGAACTGGTATCGGGGAAACTCTTTGAAAGAATTTAATTTCTTATAAAAACAAAAATTAACAGGGGTAAGTTAAGAACTTTGCTGATTTCCTTAACCACTTTCAGGCTTTACCTTTATTTTTATTTTGAAGTAAAAAGCGTGAAGGCATAATAATCTTTCCTTGCCCTTGACATCAAGTGGGGCTCAACAGTTGGGAGCCACACTATGAGTTAATAACGTGCTAAGTTGTTGTTCTCGGGTCCCTAGAACGTTCTGGAGCTGACCCTCTATGATGAGGACACAGTCACGCAGGATGACGCCTGGTTCAAGGTTCTCTATGATGTCTCTGATCTCCTCCCTGGAAGGCTGCTCCGGAAGACCTTCTCCCTGCGTGCCCAGGTGGGTGGGGGTCCCTACCGGCCCCACCTCTCAGCTCCAGGCTGAGGAAGTTGCGAAGTTTCTCCTGTCTATTGAGATGCTGCCAGGCCCTTCCCAGAGATTTTCACATTTTAATAGGAAAGGAGGAGGCTTAACTTGACTATTATCAGCTGAATCACTTAAGGAAGGATTCTAGTCTTCTACAGGGAAGGAAGGTTTGGGATGATGTGAAAACTTCCTCATGTGCCACAAACACAGCTGGGTGTGCCCAGCTTTTCAGGGGGTGCGGGCTCATCACTCCTGCTCACCACTCTGACCCTCCCAAGGCCTGCGTGATGGTCTGTGCTCTTTCTGCAGCAGGCAAAGCCTGGGGGCGTGGAAAGCAGAGTTCTGGGGTTGGTCCCCCTTGAGAGGAAGATGAAATGGACCCTTGGCCTCTTCAAGCCTCTTTAGGCTTGTGTCCCTCATCTTCCCCTTCAGCCTTGCCAGCTGTGGGTAACCTGGGCAGGTAGCCCATTTTCCCCTAAGACTCGATTTCCTCATCTGTAAAATGGGAGCTGTTGTAACACCGTGCCTCCCTTGGAGGTGGCTTGAGATGATGAGACGACACACGTAATGGAGCTGTGCCAACTCCAAAGACACATGGGCATGTTGGCAACTGGTTCATCTTTAATTTCAGGGACCGGAGGAGCTGGACGTGGAGTTCCTGATTGAGAAAATGTGAGTGATACCACCCAGCCCAGGGAGTGTCTCAGTACAAGGCTCTCCTGAGGAAAATATCCTTGATCCAGATCTTCCCATTGGTCTGTCCAGTACAGACGTGTTGTTCCTCATCTCCCACCCCTGCCAGTCAGGGTGAGGGGACCCTATTAGAGAAATGAAATGAAGAAGGTGGTATTTTCTCTGCCCCACTCTCCCCCTCCCTCCCCACCTCCCGCTCTTCAGAAGCATCTCCCCACACCCCGAAGAGTCATATCCAGGACTCAGAGAACACTCTTTGTCATTCAAGGAGGCCCCATCTGGGTGCAGCCCGAGCTAGGAGGGGGATGTCAGTGCAGGAAACATTGGCCTTTGCAAGACTGCACTCTGGATGGTTTGATTTTTCCAGGTCAGACCGCCCGGAAAACCTCATCACCAACAACGTGCTTGTGGTAACCACCTTCCCCACACCTGTGTGGGAACAGGAAGCAAGGAGGCTGAGGGAGGGACCCAGAACAGACACCAGGGTAGAGGTGGAGGGTAGGGGTTAGGGGGTGGGCCAGAAGGGGTGAGGCGAGGACAGGACTTTGCAGTAAGACTTCCTGGCCTTCCTACTAAGTGGTCACCTGGGCTGCAGGGCTTGGAAGGGCTTCAAGGGCACTTGGAGAGAGGGGAGGCTGAGGCTCTGCTGAGAGGAGTTCTGAGGGAGCTTTTGGGGAATTTTAGGCTGATGGTGCTTAGTCATGTGTAATGAGTTCATAGTTATTAGCCCCGAAGGTGGCGACGAAGACTGGCAGGCCAGGCCAGTAGGCTCAGGCTGCGAAAATTCAGGTAATAAACCTCAGAGGGCCTTTCAGTGTGGCATTCCTCCAAGCTGGGAGCCCTGAGATAGAGTCAGGGATCAACCAGCTCCTCCCCTCTCCCAAAACACAGCAAGCTCACAGAGCTGCAGTGGACAGGGATGGGTGGTGAGCGATGATTAGAAACTTTCTACTCAAAGCAAAGCTCCCAACCAGCAATACAGCCCTGACCTGGGAGCCAGGCCAGGCCCTGTCTGTGGTGAGTCAGGCCACTGGAGTTTAGAACTGAAGTGAGCACCCACCCTCGGGGTCCTACGAGTGTCTGTTTGATGGGCTAGTATTACTTTTTCAAATACCCTGAAAAGAGCCACACCTGTGGCAGCTGTCTTTCATGAGGTGATGGAACCCAGTGGCATGCTGTGAATATAGCAGTTCTACAAGAGAGGACAGTGGGTTGTGGGCTCCAGCTAGTAGGCGGTACAGAGAGAACGCAGCAGACTCCCTTGGCAGGGCAGTCAACTGGACGGTAGTCAGATGTTTCAGTGGCTAAAATGTTAAGGCTTTGTTTCTCTGACCCAGTCCATCATCCTGTGGACTGGCAGGTTGCATAATATTATTTGGGAGCAGTTATAATAGAATGCCTCCTCCAGGTTGAGTCTGCAGAGAAAAAGAAGAAAGGACTGGGCCTGAGGGCTGGGGGGCTTTCGGAGATGTCAGAAGTTTGGCAAATGTAGGAGGCTGGGAGGCTGGGAGGCTGGGTGGAGACGGGGCTTTCCTGGCTGCTCTGGGACCAGAGGTAGGGTAGGGTGAGAGGTCTCTGCATCCGGTTCCACTTCTGGTTCTGGGTGCAGTGGATTTGGGATAGTGGGACTCCGGGGGTGAGGTTGAGGGGACCTCAGCTTCCCATGCAGAGTCCCCTGTCCACAATGTGGTCTGCCCCAGGCCCGAGAGCTGTCGCGTCTGGATGTCCATGTCGTCAGCATGGCTGTGGCTGCAGGTGAGACCTGCTCAGGACAAGGTCTGGCCTCTGCTTGGAATGTGGGGGGTGGACGGGGGTGGCTGGGGAACCTGCACAGCAGGAGGTTGCCCACACAGCACACGGGCAACGGAGCTCCTCTGGGCATTAGAGTCCCGCTGAACTGGGGGAAGGCATGTCACAGGTCGTGGGAGTCCCATGGGGGTTGTGGGCAGAGCTCTTTCCAGAATGCTGTCTGCCATGGTCCAGCCACTCGGCCTCCCCACGTCTTGGGCAGTACTGGATCCTAGCTGGGGTTCTGGGCTTTTGTTTCCTTGTGCTAGTCTGCCCTCTCTCTCCCTAGATCAGGATGAGCTGGAGCTGGTGCTGAAGGGCTCTTATGAGGACACGCAGACAACTGCCCTGGGCACAGCCTCTGCCTTCTGCTTCCACTACATGGCAGCCCAGGAGGCCGAGCTGAGTGGGTGCCTGAAGGTAGGTCTTGGCTCTGGAGCTACCTGCCAGCCCCAGCCTTGGGCCAGCCCCAGCTGCTGCAGGCCTCTCTCTGGCCATCCCCCTGCCAAGGTCAGGCCCCTGTGGCCTTATTGGCCTCCCCCAGTGAGGCACTATGCCCTTGGCACACAAGGAGGATGGCCAAGGGCCTAGGTTGGGCATGGGGCCTGTGCCATGTCAGTCTTCATTTAAAGTCTTTAATGACTCCTCCAGCAATGCTCCAAGAATAAAATCCCATGCCTGCGTCCGTAGGCCCTACATAGCCTGACCCCTACACACCTCTGCTGACGCATTTTCTTCCACGTGTCCCTCATTCATGATGCTCCAGCCATGATTGTCTCTTCTTGCTTTTCCAGCACCCCAAGTGCTTTCCTGTCCCCCTGTCTCTTTCCAAGGCTGCCTACTCCTCTTCTTCCTCCTCCTCCTGCTCTGTTAGATCTCAGCTCAAATGGCACCTCTCCAGAGGTCCTCTGATCCTCCCATCTTAAGTAGACTTCATAGAGCCCTTTGGTTACTTTGCCACATCACACTGCTTATTTCCTTTACAATACTTACTAACATCACTTTGTTACCTGTTCTTTTGTAGATTCATGCATATGATTAAGTTACAATAATAAATAACTCTTAGTCATTGATATACTAAAAAATATAAGCTATTATAATTATTATTAATTGAATAATAATTGAAGTATAGTTGCTTTACAATATTGTGCTAGTTTCAGATATACAGCAAAATAATTCAGTTAGCTGCTATTTGTGTAATTATTATAACTACAATAATTATAAATATTGTAATTATTTTTTTTATTATCAGAGGGGGGCTTACATCTGTCTGGATCACTGTCTAGATACACAGTGAGGATTTGTTGAGTAAATGAATGAGTGAACAAAAGTTTTCTTCCAGAGCTCTATAAGCAGTGGCTGGAACTCAGGCAACACAGCTGGGCACCTCACAGTGCCCCTGAGGTCCTTGGCCATGGGGAAGGAGGTGAACATTGATGTTCCTGCTACAAACGTAAGTGACCTCAGCTAGATGGGAAGTGTCAGTGAGAACAAAGATGGGGGAGCCGAAGGCCCCCAGGGGATACCCACACTCCCCTCAGGGTCTAGGACATCCTGAGTAGGGTCTCTTGCTCTGATTTCAGGCCCCAGGAGTGAAGCTGCAGCTCAAGGCTGAGAGCTGGTAAGGGCCATTCATATCTGTGGAAGACAGGGGTAGTCACAGGGGTCGGGGAGAGTGGTATAAAGAACAGTCTTGGGAGTTGGCAGCAGGGAGTTTATTCGGCAGTCATTGTGGGCCTCACCAACCAGTGGCTGAGCTATGCAGGTGCCCCCTGACCCTTGACTCCTATACTGCCCCAGCACCGAGGAGCTGGCCGTACATCTGGGCTTTGATCTGTGTGCGGAGGAAAGAGCCTTCCTGAGCAGGAGGAAGCAGGTGGTGGCCAAGGCCCTGAAGCAAGCCCTGCAGCTGGATAGAGACCTGCAGGAAGATGAGGTTTGTGGGGGCAGGGGGACGTGGGTGCAGATACCTTGCACTGGCCCTAAGGGACTTCCTGACTGCTATGCCCTCTCCAGATACTTGAGTCGCAGAGGCTGGGGGATGGGCATGTGGGGGAGAGATATTGGGCGTGGGGAAGCTCTCTTTGGGGACACTCTCTTTGGGGACCTGTCCAGGGCTGAGAGCTGTTACTTGCTGGGGAGAAGCAGGTGCTGGCTCTAATCCTGAACCCTTTAGGCCCTGCCCACTAGGTCCCATCCCTGGGGGCAGGGGGACACTCCACCCCTGTCCTTGTTAAGCCAACCTGTGTCTGTGTGCAACCCAGGTCCCTGTTGTAGGCATCATGGCCACAGGAGGAGGCGCCCGGGCCATGACCTCTCTCTACGGCCACCTGTTGGCCCTGCAGAAGCTGGGCCTTCTGGACTGTGTGACCTACTTCAGTGGCATCTCAGGCTCTACATGGTGAGGGCCCTGGGGACTTGGAAGAGCAGAGATGATCAGGCTCCAGGGGGAAACGGAGAAGACATCAATGGGACCCTTTTTGTGGGGAAGCCAAGTGGTATGGGCTGATGGATGCCAAATGGCTTTCTCTAAAGGGAAGAAATAGACAATCAGAGGTCCTGCCATGAGTCAGGCAGGACTCATGTCACCTGTTCCATGCTACTGAATAGGCATAGGTTGGCTGATCTGGAAAGAGCTGGCTTTGAGTTTCTGCAACACCACTTACTGACTAAGTGACTCTGAGCAACTTATTTCCTCTGATTCTCAGTTGACTCATCTCCAAAATGGGGGTAATAACAGCACATACACCATAGGATTAGAGTGGGACAGCCCAAGTGAAGCACTTAACATATCTGACACATATCAGGAACTCCAAATTGGCAGCTCTTTTTTCTTTAACGGTTGTTACCTCATTGTATCCTCACAACACTCTCTGCGGTAGTCTCCCTTATTGTCCCTATTGTTGTTCAGTCGCTCAGTCGTGTCCGACTATTTGGACCCCATGAACTGCAGCACACCAGGCTCCCTGTCCTTCACTATTTCCTGGAGTTTGCTCAAACTCATGTCCATTGAGTCCGTGATGCCATCCAACCATCCCATCCTCTGTTGTCTCCTCCTCCTGCCTTCAATCTTTACCAGCATCAGGGTCTTTTCTAATGAGTCGGCTCTTTGAGCCAGGTGGCCAAGGTATTGGGACTTCATCTTCAACATCAGTCCTTCCAATGAATATTCAGCGTTGATTTCCTTTAGGACTGACTGGTTTGATCTCCTTGCTGTCCAAGGGACTCTCAAGAGTCTTCTCCAGCACCACATTTTGAAGGCATCAATTCTTTGGCTCTCAGCCTTTTTTATCATGCAGCTCTCACAACCCTATAGTATAGATGAGAAAATGTAGGTCACAAGATGTTATTTTACCTAAAGGTAGCATTGCCTCCTGATACCCCACTCTGCCTATGATGAAGTGAGACTTCTCACTGTTGGAGATTCATTCCTTTGAGTCTTATTGAAATGTGACTTTAAGGAGTAAAAGATGAGTAAACTCCTCAGAGGAGTTTAGGTGACAAGCAGTGTCTTAAAGGGCTTCAGGACAGACATATAGAGATGGGAGTAGGGCCTATAGCTGTGTTATACAATACAGTAGCCACCAGCTACATGTGGTTGCTGATAACATGAAATGTGGCTTGTTCAAATTGAGATGCGTTATAAAATGTGCAACGAATTTTGAAAAACAGTTTGAAAAATTATAAATTTATATTAATTTAAATATTGACTACATGCTGTAATGATAATGTTTAGATACTGAATTAAATGAAATATACTGTTAAAATTAACTCTTTCAGTCTCTTTTTACTTTTTGAAAATGTGGTCATTAGGAAAATGTAAATTACATATGTGGCTCACACTCTACATTGGACAGTGCCAACTAAGGAGAGAAAACCCTGAGACAGCTCCCAGAGAGGCAGGGTTTGGTGGCAGGAACCACATGCTGGGAGAAGTCAGAGAATGGAAATTGGAGTTGCAGCAACCATGCTGAGCCTTGGTCTCCTACTGTAACGTTCCTTTGTTTTCTCAGGACAATGGCCCATCTGTATGGGGACCCAGAGTGGTCGCAGAAGGACCTCAAGGGACCCATCAGTCATGTCCGGGAGCACCTGGCCAAGAGTAAGCTGGAGGCCTTCTCTCCTGAGCGCCTGGCGAGCTACCAGCGGGAGCTGGCACAGCGGGCTGAGCAGGGCCACACCACGACTTTCGTGGACCTGTGGGGTCTGGTGCTGGAGTTCATGCTGCACGGTCAGGTAGTGCACCTGTGCGTGTGAGGTGGAGGGTGTGAGCACTGGTGGGGCGGGGGTAGCCCTGCAGCTAGCTGAGGCCCATGTGCCTTTCCTGTTGGGAAAGAAAGGCCAGTACATTGTTCAAGGATATGGGAAGAGCCATACCTCTGTACCTCAGTGTCTGCCAACTCTGGAATGCTGACTTTTTGAGTCAGGTTATTCTTCAGTTAATTACCCATGAAACAGAAATTTCTGGATCTCCCAAGAGCTCGGGACCAGTTAGCGCCAAAGTCAGTTAAGCATTGTGTTTGAGTCAGTGAGATTTTTGGAACAGCTTTTTATTTATACTGTAACATAAAATGTATTCTTCACTTCATGGTAGTGTTAAAAGCATAGACTGTGGAGCCAGATTTCCTGGATTCTAATTCTAGGGCCTCTTACTAGCCCTAAGGACACATATGTCCTTAGGCAAGTTACTTAACCTCTCTGTGCCTCAGTCTTCTCATATGTACAATGAGAATGAAAATAGTACTTACCTCACAGGGTTGTTCTGAGCACTGCTGGTGCCTTGGCACAGGGTAAGCATCAAGTGTCAGCAAATCTATTTCTTTACTGTGATCCTAACACCATTAAGACAAAACTGAGCATATAAAATTTTTTTACACCTTACTTCTTTAAAAAAAGAAAAAAAAGCTTAGTAAGTCAACTTCTGGATCTTACATTAACTGATACAATGATGAAAATCAGGATTGTTTTTTTTTTTTTCACAAAAAAATTGTGAAATTGTTTTTTGTTGTTTTACCCCTTATAGTTCTTCTTAAAGCTTTTGAAGTGACTAAAACACAAAAAGCATTTTAATATGAGTAACAAAAAAGTACTATCAAATATACTAGCAGAGGAAAGATTCTTACCTTTCTTATCTTTGGATATCAGGCATTTGACCAAAAATGATTATCATGTAAAGGACCAAAAAGTGAATGTTTTAAATTTTTTCTTTTAATTTTGTTCTTGTTGGCAAGCAAAATGCTATTTGGAAATTACCAACCATTCTTATTTTTTATTAGGTAAAAATATTTATTATAAAATTCTAATAAGTGTTTTTTACAATAATTTTCAGAACTAAGAAAATACATAAAGCATAAAGAATAATATAAGGAATATGCAGGATCTCACTAATCAGCCTAAGACATGAAATGTTACAGAAAGAGCCAAAGCTCCCTGTCCCCTCCAGCCCCATTTTCCTCCAACCCCCAGAGTTAACCACCATGCCGAATTTATTATCACATACATATCTGTAACCTGTATACTTTATATTATACATAACATAATATCTTACAAAACTTTCTACTTTCTTAGATCACCTTTATTGCATATACTTTTATTAAAATATATATATCCTTAAGGAAAATGTAATATTAATTGCACAATGGTTTTATACAAGTCTCCTTGTGCCCATGTGTTCAAGATTCTCTAGGCCTTGAAGATACATACCCAGTAGTAGAATTGTTAGGCCATTGGGTAGTGTATCTTCAACTTTCCTAAGCTATTGCCAAATTGTCCTCCAAAGGGGTTGTGTTAATTCACACTCTCACTACCAGTGTATTATAGTTTCTTTTTCTCTACATGCTCTTCTCACTTTTAAATGTTTGTCCATTTTATGGGCATGAAAGGAAATTTTATTGTACCTTTACATTTCTTTGATTTTTAATGAGGCAATATTTTCAAGTATATTTGTCATTGGGGCTTGCTCTTACATTGATTATCTACTCAAATCCTTTTCTAGTTAATTCACCTTTTAAATATTATATTATAGGAATTCCTTATAAATTCAGGATATTAATCATTATCAGTTCTAATAGACTTTGATGCATGCTTTCAATATAGTCCAATGTATCATTCTTTTCCTTTATGGTTTGTACTTTTAGAGTTTCCTTGAGAAATCTTTTCCTCCCCTAAAGTTATGAAATATCTTTCTGTATATTCTTACATGAGTTTTATATCTTTCTTTTTCACAGTTAGGGCTTTAATCTACCCAGAATTTATCTTCAGGTATTATGTGAGTAGGAATTCAATTTTATTTTTTTCCACATGGATAGCAGACTTCCCCAATATAACTTATTATCCACACTGATCTACATTGCTACTTCTGTCATGTGTCAGCATGAATCTACAGCAACTCATACATTCGTGGGACTTTTCCTGAGCACTTTATTCCATTCTAATGGGGCTCGATCTTGATCCTGGTGCCCATCCTGCACTGGTTTAGTAACTACCTTTGTGATTAATCTCAGTTTCTGATTGGGCAAATTTATCCCCACCTTGGATCTCAGAATTTTCTTGGCTACTTTTGGTGCTTTGCCCTTCTACATACATAATAGAATCAGCCAGCCCAGTCTCATGATATATATTGTTGGGATTTTTGTTGAAATGGCATGGAATTTATAAAATCAACATAATTACTTGAAACATTTTTATTTTATTACTATATCCTATGTATTCTTTGGCTCTACTATTTAAGTTCATGTTTGGTTTTGAGGGTGCAGTGTTTTATTAACTGACTTTTCTGCCTGGTGGCAACAATTAATTACTATAGGTAGGGAAAGCTTGTTTTAACAGCTCACTTTTTGAGGTACTAGAAAGTGCATTTGATCCTAGGCTATAAAGAAGACATATTTAATTACCATTTGATCCTCCAGTAATGACTTAATGCATGGTTTTATGTAGTTTGTAGTCATTTTGAAAAGGACAAACTTAATTAGTCTTTTTTATTATTGCTCACAAGAATAAAAATCCTTGTGGTATTATTGAATGACAGCACATCCCTTAGAATGAGCACCCATGCAGTTTTAAAAATCTTGTCCCAATATAAATGTTTTTCGAATATTTTCTTTTTTTCCTTAGTCATCATGCTTTAGCTCTTAAAGCTTACCTTGATTATGAGCTTTTTAAAATAATTCTTTTTTTATTATTTTACTTGTATTTATTTATTTTAATTTGTGACTGCACTGGGTCTTCATTGCTTTGTGCAGGTTTTCTCTAGGTGTGGCGAGGGAGGCTATTCTTTGTTGCAGTGTACGGGCTTCTCATTGCAGTGGCTTCTCTTATTGTGGAGCACATGCTCTAGATGTGGGGGCTTCAGTAGTTGCGGTACACAGGTTCAGTAATTTCGGCCCCAGAGCTCATGGGCTTCAGTCAGAGGGCTGTGGGGATAGGGAAGCACATGGGGTGTGCTGAGGCTTTGTCATCGGTGCAAGAGCAGGACTGCTCGTTGATTGGGCTGGGCTAGATACACAGCTGGCTGATCATTAGAATCACCTGGGAAGATTTACAAAAGCCAAATTCCTAAGTGGCTTCTGCTGATTCTCAGAAGAGACCCAGTAATCTGTATTTCTCACACATTTTGAGTAAATCTGATGATAGAGGTTGATACAGCAGGGTGGGAACTGCTTAGGTCTAGCTGCTGAGTGGGACAACCTTCAGCCTGACAGCTCTGAGAGCCTGAGAGAGATGGTGCATTCATGGTACACGTACCAATCCACAAGAAACAGCCCAGGGCCTGTGGCGGCAGGATCCTTCCCCAAGTGGGGCTCCAGGCAGCCACCACCAATACCCTTACCGAGGCTTGAGATGAGCCACATTTGCATCACGGTCCAGGATAGAAAGAGACCCTTCTGTTCCACCAGAATTCAGTGAGGCTCATTGGAGGCTTCCCCAAAAGGCAAGCCACAATCCTTGCCAGAGTTGTACTGGAGGGAAAACTAGAAATAGAAGGCAAGGATAAAGAGTGGGGTACAGCATATACTGTGCAAAACAGGGACAGAGGAGATGAGGGGAGGTGAGGATGTCAGGAGAGTGTTTGGGAGGTGCTAAAGGTTGAAATGTGTCCAGGTTTACCTAGAAGGGACAGCCCCTGGCAAAGCTAACAATGCACACTAAAGGGGGATTCCTGAGTCCTTTCCAGAAAGCTGTGTGTGGGGGTGTGTGTGTGTGTGTGTGAGAGAGAGACAGAGGATCCATGGTCCCTCCACCCTTTAACTCATGAAGATGGGCCCACTGGCACCATAGGATGCAGGGGTGGCTGTCACTGTTGACACTGTGGTCCTTGTGAACAACAGTCTGCAGATATGCAGCTCATAACCTACAAGGCCCTACATGGCAACCCTGCATGTGGAGCTGGTCAAACACAGGAGCAGGAGTGGGAATTGCATCATGTGCCCACCCATGCCACCCAGACCCCCAGGCTCTTCCCCCCACCCTGTACCCCAACCCTGTCACCAGGGTACTGCCAACCTCACTTTGGCCCTCATGCCTGCATCCCAGGTGGTGGATCAGAAGCTGTCAGGACAGAGAGCTGCGCTGGAGCGGGGCCAGAACCCTCTGCCTCTCTTCTTGAGCCTGAGTGTCAAACAGAATGATCTGCAGACACTGGACTTCAAGGGTACCATTCTCAGTCCTGTTCATTGCGTCCTCCAACACACACACACACACACACACACACGCACTCATGATGCACAGGTGGCCCACCTCCTGGAAGGACGGTGGTGTGGATGGGCTGATGGGCCAAGCAGCAGGGCTCTCCATCTGGGGCAAGGGCTATGGTGGTTGAGGATGTAGACAAAAGGCTGAGTGGGGAAGGGGTCAGCACAAGAGTCAGTCAGGCTGGCATGAGGCTGAGGCCTACTGGGGGGCTGTGTCTTTGGCCCTTGTCAGATCTGCCCCTCCTTCCAAGCCCACTGTCCTCTCATTCCTGCCTCTCCCTTCTGCCCCCTCAGAGTGGGTCGAGTTCTCCCCCTACGAGGTTGGGTTCCTGAAGTATGGAGCCTTTGTCCCTCCTGAGCTCTTCGGCTCTGAGTTCTTCATGGGGCGGCTAATGAAGAGGCTCCCTGAGTCCCGGATCTGCTTTCTGGAAGGTGAGGGGTTGTCACTCTGAAGGCCCTGGATGTCCCTTGGCGAGGCCTCTCTGATCGTGACCCCTGTGCCCAGTCCTGGGCAGAGCCCCTAGTGAGGGCGGATATTGAGTTCTGGGGAAGGGCCTTGTGGGGGCAGCCTGCTCCCCCTCTCCTTCTCCTTCTCCATCTCCATCAAGGGTGGGGACCACTGGGGGCATGCTGAGGCTGACTCTCTTGGGGGTTTGGCCTGCAGGTATCTGGAGCAACATTTTCTCCCTGAACTTGCTGGACGCCTGGTACGACTTCACCAGCTCTGGTGATGCCTGGAGGCAGCACATCCAGGACAAGATCAGGGACCTGGGTAAGGAGCCTGGAGTGAGGCTGCTTCCCCTTCTGATGCTGCAGGGTAGGGATGGGAGCACAGTCGGGATCAGGCAGGGCCAGGCATTTCCAAGTCCCTCACTGGACCAACGTCTGTTTCTCTGGACTCAGAGGTGCCCCCTGCCTCCTCGGGGACCTCCTCATGGCCAGAGACCTTGTGGATGCAGCCTGGAACAGCACTGGCCCAGATGTTTAAAGGCTTCTTGACCAGCCGACCACTCTATCAGCACAGCTCCAACTTCCTCCGGGGCCTCCAGATGCATAAGGACTACTGTGCCCAGAAAGCCTTCACCACCTGGGCAGGTAAGGGCCAATGCCATGTGTCTCCAGGTAACAAGGTTTGGCTCCTGGGTGGAGATGGACATGGCTGGGGCTGCCAGAGGTCTTGGGGAGGTCCCAGCATCCACCTCTGAGGTGTGGCTTAGAGAAGGTCTTGCCAAAGGCTTGAATGACATGCATTCAGGGACTGACACAGAGGTAAGAAGGAGATGTGGAGGCAAATGCAGGATGAAGCAGGAAAGTGGTTGGTCTGTGTCTGAGTGGCTGCCCCTGACTATTGCTGCCTCCCCCATCAGAATGCCAGCCAGACTCCTCTCCCAACCAGCTGACCCCGCAGGAGCCTCAGCTCTGCCTGGTGGATGCCGGCTACTTCATCAACACCAGCTGTCCTGCCATGTTCCGGCCAGGCCGCAGGCTGGACCTCATAATCTCCTTCGACTACTCTCTATCCTCGCCCTTTGAGGTATTGCTGGTTGTCCCATGGGAAACCCAGACCCTCTCTCCAGCCAGGCCACACTCCAGGGGAGAGCAAAGGGCCACTGACCCAGACTTTCTATGTTGCCAAGGAGAGGGAGAAGTGACAGGCTCTGACTCACAGGCTCCTGCCAGGGTTGGGAAGGGCTGTGGAGGAGTTGGGGCCCTGGGCTCCCAGGAACGGTAGACAGGGGGTGTGGGTGGGAGGAAACTCATCATGCCTGCCCCAAGAGGAAGTGCTGGACAGAGGTGAGAGGAAAGCCTGGCCTGTCTGCATCCATCCCCCTGGGGCCTCCCCGGGGACTCTGGGGAAGGCGGTGGGTAGACCCAAGAGACAGAAGTGGGTCCTTTACGGGGGCTTACTTGAGGCTCTGAGAGTGAATAAGCCAGAACAGCAATCCCAAATGGGGGTGGGGGTGCTAGGACTGTACCCCACCTAAATATTCTAACTAAACAATACTGCAGACCGCCTGGATCATTCGCCTCCCTCTGAGGCACCACTTAGCTTGACTGGGCCATGAGGAGGACAAAACCAGGTTGCCCGGAGCAGTCCGTTTGGACTGGAGCTGTACTGGCATTTTCTAGAGTGCTGACATAGGATGACCCGGAAGTAGTCGGTGCTCTCTCTGGGTGCCCCCGCCCCACCAGGTGCTGCAGCAGACGGAACTGGACTTCCGGGCCCGGGGGCTGCCGTTTCCCCGCGTGGAGCCCAGCCCCAAGGACCGACGCCAGCCCCGGGAGTGCCATCTCTTCTCAGACCCCGCCTGCCCCAACGCGCCTGTCGTGCTTCACTTCCCACTGGTCAACGCCTCCTTCAAGGACCACTCAGCCCCCGGTGAGGCAGCCCCACCTCCCCTTACTAAGAGCCTGGCAGTCTGCTCCGCACAGGCACTGAGCTGGGCTCTCCCGTGCACCTGTGGTCAGCAGAGGGAGGAGAGTCTTAGGCTTGTCCGACCCAGCATGGGACATGGCAGAACCCTGGCCTGTGGCGCATGCCCAGATCCCTGCAAAGTCACTGGGCTGCGCATCTCTTTGTCATGACCCCAGGCTCCGCTGGCCTCCCCTAGCCTGATGCCGCTCACTACAGCTGGGCTCTGCTCCCTACTCTGTGGGCCGGGGGGGAGGGGCGGGAGCGGGAAGTGGGGATCCCCACACTGTCACCTCCATAAGTGCTACCAGTTGAAGGATTTTCTAATGGCCCCCCAGGTTGGACAGCTAGAGGAGAGAGACCCCAGTCCTCTCTCTTCCCCTAAGCCTGCCTGGGCTCACAGTTGGCCTCCCTGTCATTCTGCTGCAGCCCATTCTGGGGTTCTTTCTGAGGGAACTGGTTCTCTACTCCAGGGTGCCTGAAATCTGAACTCTCATCACAGTCTCTGTAACCCTTGCCTCCCACCAACTGGTCAGAGTTTTATGACCTTTTGATGGGAATGTCAAATTCTGCCTTTGTATGTATTTTTGGCTTTCTATTAACAGTTCTCGCCATAATTCTGAAACTTCCAACTTTACTCTTTTTAAAAAACATTTTCTATTTATTTGGCTATGCCAGGTCTCAGTTGTGGCTTGTGGAACCTAGTTCTCTGACCAGGGATCAAATCCATGCCCCTAGCATTAGGAGCAAGGAATCTTAGCCGCTGGAAGCCAAGGAAGTCCCCCAGCTTTACTCTTTTCATTTTGTTTTTTATAATTTTTATTTATTTTTGACTGTGCTGGGTCTTCATTGCTGCACAGGCTTTTCTCTAGTTGTGGCCAACGGGAGCTGCTACTCTCTAGTTGCAGTGCTCGGGCCTCTCATTGCAGTGGTTTCTTTTGTTTTGAAGCATGGGCCTTTCAGTAGTTGTGGTACATGGGCTTAGTTACTCAAAAGCATGTGGAATCTTCCCTGACCAGGAATCGAACCCACGTCCACTACATTAGCAGGCAGATTCTTTACCACTGAGCCAGGAGGGAAGCCCCAGCTTTACTCTTAATGTGCTCAGTCTGTATCTTGGAATTCTCTTTCTTTCTCAACAAAGACTGTTTCTTGCAAAGCAAAAACTCTTAGGTTTTCAGATGTTTGTTTCCATCATGAATTCTAAGAAACCATTCACTAACCTAATGGACTTTATCTGCTGCTTCCACCTTATCCCTGAGGCTGCGGTGGGTACCAGGAGGTGGCTGCGAGGAAGTATGGGGAGCAGCGCACGCTTCATACCTCCACATAGCGTCCTGCCAGTCACAGTTAGAGTTCTGGGCAGAGGACACAGGGCTGGGAGGGAAGCATGGAGCCCCTTCAGTGGGGAGCAGCTCAGCCCTGTGCCCAGCCGCCAGGAACAGTCCTGCCAGCTGTGCAGGCCCCGGTGCCCCCGTCCCTGGGCCTAACCCCCTCCCACCCCCGGGCAGGTGTCCAGCGTGGCCCCGCAGAACTCTCGGCCGGCCAGATAGATCTCACTGGAGTCTCCTCGCCCTATTCCATGTTCAACATGACCTACAAGGAGGAAGACTTCGACCGCCTGGTGCAGCTCTGTGACTACAATGTACGGAGCAGCCAGGACACCATCCTGCAGGCCTTGAGGACTGTTCTGAAGAACCGGGCCCCAGAGGCCAGGCCTCCAAGGGTGCAGACTTGAGACTTCTCAGGGGCCCCGGGTTTTGAGGGCCTCACTGACCCCTCCAGGGCCCAGGGGCTCAGCCCACCTACAGTGGGCACAGCCCTTGCGGGGCTGAAGTTCCCGGGTTCTCCCGGGCCTGCGTCCCACCCAGAGTTCTCCCTCACCTTCAGAGCTGGTTTGAGAGGACCTGAAAACAAACTCCTCACCAGGCCAGTGTGAAAACAGCTGGTCCAACCAGACATTCACATGCAGTCCTTCTCATGCCTGAACAACATGAATTTGCAGTATAAGCTGGAGGTACTAGACAGGCAGGGCAAGGGCCTGCCTCAGAGGTGGCTCTAGGTATCAGGAGTCACAGTCCATCCTGACAGGCTTCTCTTACTGCCTTTGTTCCTCCTTGTCCTCCTCAGTTTCTGCTATTTCAGAGCACCATTATTGAGATATGATCCACATGCCATATAATTCATTCATCTGAAGTATGCATGCAATGGCTTTTACTATATATTGGGTTGGCCAAAAAGTTCATTCAAATTTTTCTATAACATCTTACGGAAAACCTCAAACATTTTGGCCACCCCAATATTAAGAAACTACAATCAATTTGAGAACATTTTCATTAATCCCAAAGAAACCCATTACCCCTTAACTGTCAACCTCAAACCACCCCCACTCTAGCCCTAGGCAACCCCTAACCTGTTCTCTGTTTCTTTAGATTTGCTTAAACACTTCATATAAATGGAATCATACAGTATGTGTGGAATCATACAATATAAATGGAATCATACAATATGAATCATACAGTCACACATATGTGGCCTTTTGTGTCAGTTTTCTTTCAGCATAATATTTTCAAGATTTGTCCATGTTGTAGCAGGTGTCAGAACTTCATCCCTTTTGCGGTTGTGTAATACTCCATTGTGTAGGTATATCACACTTTATTCATGGGTTGATGGACATTTGGATTGTTTCTTCTTTTTTTGGTTATTATAAATAATGCTGCTGTGAACATTCATATACAGATTTTTTGTGTGGACAATGTTTTTAATTCTCCTGCATATATACCTGGGAGTGAAGTTGGGTCATATGGTAATTTTCTGCTTAATCTTTTGAGGAACTGCCAGACCATTTTCCAAAGTAGCTGCACCATTTTGCATTCCTGTCAGCATTGTATGAGGGTTCTGCTTTCTCCACACCTTTGCCAACTCTTGTCTGTCTTTTATTTATTATTATAACTATCTTAATGTCAAGTGGTATCTTGTATACATTTTTGTAATGTCGATGTTAAGTTTTTCACATACTTTTTGGCCTTTTGTGTATCTTCTTTAGAGAAATATCTATTTGGAGATTTTTCCCATTTTAATTGGATTATTTGTCTCTTTGTTGTACTGGAAAAATTCTTTATGTGTTCTCTCATTTGATGTAGGATTTGCAAAGTTTTTCTCCCTGTCCGTGGGTTGTCTTTTCACTTTCTTGAAGCTATCCTCTGAAGCACAGAAGTTTTGGATTTTGGTGATTCCCAGTTTATCTTTATTTTCTTTTACTGCTTGTGCTTTTGGTGTCATTTGTAAAAAGCCATTGCCTAATCCAAGGTCATGAGGATTTACATCTATGTTTTCTTCTAATGGTTTTATAGTTTTAGGGTTAGGTCTTTGATCCATTTTGAATTAATATTTGTATATGTGTGAAGTAGTAGTTCAATTTCCATTCCTTTGCATATCCAGTGGATATCCAATTCTTCCAAAATCATTTGTTGGGAAGGCTGTTCTTTTCCCGTTGTATTGTCTTGACACCTTTGTTGAAAATAAATTAGCTATAAATGTGAGGGTCTATTTCTGGATTCTGATTTTATTTCATGGATCTGTTTGTCTGTCTTTATGCTGATATCATACTGCCTTGATTACCGTAGTTTTGTAGCAAGTCTTTTATGAGTCCTATAACTTGGTTCTTCCTTTTCAAGATTGTACTGGTTATTCAGGGTCCCTTGAATTTATCTATGAATATTAGGATTAGCTTGTCAATTTGTGCAAAGCAAATGGCTGACATTTTAATGGAAGGGAAGGAGACTGCTTTTACAGAGAGGAAAAGGAAGGTGGGAAGGCTTAAGTAAACAGAGTCCATGACTTTTCATTGGCTAAGTCTTTTCCAGAAAAGAGTCTTTCTTCTTCCTGTTGGGCTCTGCTATTACTGGAGAGTCTGAAAGCTCCCTTGTCTGGCCTCCTGACTCTGAGGTTTCTGTTTATCAATATTTTACACTGTAAATCACCTCACACAAGCCCAAATCCTACAATAAAGCCCTCCTGCTTCCCACTTACTGAGACACTCCATGGTTCCCCGTAGAGTGTGATCTCATTGGTTGCAACAAGTACCAATAAAGTCAAATGTGTTCAACTACAGTGATGTTCCTGGGAGTCTTTGGTTGGTGGGCATCTACCAGAGTTAAGCAACTTGCTCAGATCACTAAACTCAGAAGAGGCAAAGCCAGAGGTGAAACTCAGGGCTTTAAAATCAATGCCAGGCTCATAACAGCCACACCACCCTGCATCTTTAGGCACTTATTTTGGAACTTTCTCTATTATATTGTGAAGGATTAACTTGACCTAAATGGATGTGAGAGTTGGACCATAAAGAAGGCTGAGCATTGAAGGATTGATGCTTTCAAACTGTGGCGCTGGAGAAGACTTTTGAGAGTCCCTTGGACAGCAAGGAAATCAAACAAGTCAAGCCTAAAAGAAATCAGCCCTGAACATTCATTGGAAAGACTGAAGCTGAAGCTCCAGTACTTTGGCCACCTGCTTCGAAGAGCCGACTCCTTGGAAAAGACCCTGATGCTGGGAGAGATTGAAGGCAGGAGGAGAAGGAGGCAACAGAGGATGAGATGGTTGGATGGCATCACCAACTCTATGGACAGGAATTTGAGCAAACTCTGGGAAATGGTGAAGGACAGGGAAGCCTGGCATGCTACAGTCCATGGGGTCACAAAGAGTCAGATATGACTAAGTGACTGAACAGCAAAAGAAGGGTCTGGCCCCTGGAATGACCTGCCTGATGGGAGGCTTTGTTTGTCTGGGTGCTTCAACTGCTGGACATCCTTGAAGTGTGATTTGTGATGAGGCCTCTGGAACAGGCTAATATCAGTTCCAACCTCCAGAGGAAGTGAGGCTAAAGGTCCCAGAGGGCTTGGAGACTAAAGGTCAGCCATGTGGTCAGTAAGTGATGGGGCCCCAGTAAACACTGGACACCAAAGCCTCAAGCCCCCTGGTTGGGAGTACTCTGGGCATATTGTTACACACTGTCCAGGAGGACGTAATGCTGTTTGTGTCTCCATGGAGAGGGGACAGTGGGAAGTTCCTGTTTAGCCCCTCGCAGTCTCTGACCTGTGATCTCTCTCTCTGGCTGGTTTCAATTTGTATCCTTTCACTATTGAAAAAAAAAAAGAAAGAAAACAGTGTAGAGCTTTCCTGGGTTCTGTGAGTGGTCTTAGCAAACTATCAAACCTGAGGGTGGTCCTGGGAACCCTCGAATTTGTAGCCAGCTGGTCTAAAGTGAGGGTGGCTCTGGGGACCCCTGAACGTGCCGCTGGTGTCTAATGTGAGGGCAGTCTTGGGGGGGGCTGCTCCCTGAGACTACATAGTGGGGTCAGCGCCTCTCCAAGTAGGGTCACAAGGCCTGGCAGTCTGGAGGACTGTGTCCCCAACCTTGCAGTCTGGCTGATTCAGGACCTATGCTCTGGAGAGTGAGGAGATATACAAAGAAAGAAAAAATGTTGACATTCTACCACAAATTGGCACTTGCCAAGGGCATTTGTGGGCTTCCCAGGTGTTGCTAGTGGTAAAGAATCCACCTAAGGGATGTGGGTTCAATTCCTTGCTCAGGAAGATGCCCTGGAGGAGGGCACAGTAATCCACTCCAGTATTCACCTGGAGAATCCCAAAGACAAAGGAGCCTGGCAGGCTACAGTCCATAGGGTCGCACAGAGTCAGACACAACAGAAGCAACTTAGCACATATGCATGCAAGGGCATTTGTGCTTATTTCACATGCTAGCAAGGTAATGCTCAAAATCCTTAAAGCTAGGCTTCAACAGTGAACCAAGAACTTCCAGATGTACAAACTGGATTAGAAAAGGCAGAGGTACCAGAAATCAAATTTGACATCCATTGGATTATAGAAAAAGCAAGGGAATTCCAGAAAAACATCTACTTCTGCTTTATTTACTGTGCTAAAGTCTTTGTGTGTGTCACAGCAAACTGTGGAAAATTCTTAAAGAGATGGGAGTACCAGACCACCTTACCTCCCTCCTGTGAAACCTGTACGCAGGTCAAGAAGCAACAGTTAGAACCAGACATGGAACAATGGACTGGTTCAAAATTGGGAAAGGAGAATGTCAAGGCTGTATATTGTCACCTAGCTTGTTTAACTTCTATGAAGAGTACATCATGCAAAATTCTGGACTGGGTGAATCACAAGCTGGAATCAAGATTTCTGGGAGAAATATCAACAGATATGCAGATGATGGCAGGAAGCAAAGAGGAACTAAAGAGCTTCTTGATGAGGGTGAAAGATGGAGAGTGAAAAGGCTGACTTAAAACTCAGCATTCAAAAAACTAAGATCATGGCATCCAGTCCCATCACTTCATGGTAAATGGATGGGGAAAAAGTGGAAACAGTGGCAGATTTTATTTTCTTGGGCTCCAAAATCACTGCAGACTGTGACTGCAGCCATGAAATTAAAAGATGCTGGCTTCTTGAAAGGAAAGCTACAATAAACCTAGACAGAGTATTAAAAAACAGAGACATTACTTTGCCAACAAAGGTCCTTATAGTCAAAGTTATGTTTTTTCCAATAGTCATGTACGAATGTGAGAGTTGGACCATAAAGAAGACTGAATGTCAAAGAAGTGATGCTTTTGAATTGTGGTGCTGGAGAAGACTCTTGAGACTCCCTTGGAGAGCAAGGAGATTAAACCAGTTAATCCTAAAGGAAATCAACCCTGAATATTCATTAGAAGGACTGATGCT